CACTTATTAAAAAAAGGGCACTTTTATACACGTATTCCCTTCCAGCGAAGAAGATTGTATTTAACAAGCGTCAGTATTGAAAGGCGATGCTTAAGGACTGCTTCCCGCTCAGGGCGAGCTGGGAAAAAAAAAAACCACCAAAAGGCTTAAGTTAAGGACTGCTTCCCGCTCAGGGCGAGCTGGGAAAAAAAACCAAACCACCACCACAAAACCAACCACCCCGCTTTCTCGGCCTCCCCGCCGGCACGCCCGGGCAGCCCAGCGCCCGGCCCAGCCCAGGGTCCTCGACATCCCAGTTACAAACTGGTTGAGCCGGCGAGGAGGCTCCGCTCGCGATTGGCGGGGCCAGGCGCCTTGCCCGCGCCCTGATTAGGCGGGTTAAATGTGATTGACCAGTGCGAGTAATTAATCTGCGAGAGGCCGGGCTTGGGGCTTTGTTTATACCCCTGGATTGGCTGGATTTGAATTGGATATACGTTCTGTTTGTACCTGGGTGGGACCTCGCGGGGGTTTATTTTGGTGCATTACGCTATAAAAGCGCTGCGCCAGCCCAGCCGAACGCCGTCGTCCACCGACGCTGCTCTTCTCCGCCGTGGCTCTGCCGGAACGCCGGGCCTCGCTGGGAGCCGTCGACCGGGTACGGTGCTGGCAGAGGATCAGGACTCCGGGCTGTTTTATCGGGGTGGGGGGAGATGAACCCCACCGTCAGTAGCGCTTACAAAAAAAAAAATAATTTAAGCCACGCGACGCACCCTCGCACTCAACTATTTCCTTTTTTATTTTTTTTCTGTCCCACAGCACCGAAACAAATCGAGCAGAGTCTGCCATACCTAAAAAAAAAAAACCCCAAACCCAAAAAACCACTTGGCAGAAAGCCACCACAAGCGATAATTCGACTAACCCGTGGGACAAGACGCGCCTCTTGCCCTGAAGGATGTTGCCATCAACAGCGCCCTCAAAACACGGGGTTGATTTCCAAGTGGGAAGCATTCATGATGTCATCGTAAGGAAGATTTTTTTTTTTTTGTCTCTCACAATGGCAACTTTACAATCAGTCAAATAAGCGATCCTCAAATGGCAAAAAAACCCACCTTTGAGTGTGGGTGGGACAAGACGCGCCTCTTGCCCTGAAGGATGTTGCCATCAACAGCGCCCTCAAAACACGGGGTTGATTTCCAAGTGGGAAGCATTCATGATGTCATCGTAAGGAAGATTTTTTTTTTTTTGTCTCTCACAATGGCAACTTTACAATCAGTCAAATAAGCGATCCTCAAATGGCAAAAAAACCCACCTTTGAGTGTGGCTGATACGACGAAGGACGGGGAAGCCACAAGGAATTCTGCTGCAGCCACACGCTGGGGTGGCGCGCACACCCCCCCCCCAACACACCTC